TGTAAATGTATATATATATAACACATAGAGATGGACACAACTCAGAAATCCATAAAGTGATAGACAGGTAGAAAAATGTGTAGTTTTAATACAGTGAAGAATTGAAATAAGTCATTTGTATACAGATTACAAATGCAACAAATATTATGTTAAGTATAACAAACATTATGTGAAGTGAAAAAAAAAGTCACAAATAGAAAAAAATACACTTCTGAACATAAACTTCCTAAAATAGGAAAGATGGGGGCCTTGGGGGAAGAATAGTTATTGCTTAATTGTTTTAAAGAAGAAAAGTTCTTGGCAAATACCTAGTAATGTTGGTTCTATAGCACAATGAATATGTATGTATAAAATATCAGGAGGTTATAAATATTAAACCAGTGATGGAGTTGAGAAAACAGCAGTGCAGTTGCTATATTGGTTTCTGCTTCTTCTGAATTAAAGGTGCTTGGGGAGAAACAAGTGTGGGAAAAAAATCTTTCAGCTTTCCCTGGTAGACAAAACACAGATTCTCTAAAAGAAGCATGTGATCCTCTCCCTGGGAGCCAGCCAACTTGGGAGGATTAAGTTATCACAGAAGAAAACACTGGAGGCCCATACCCAGACAGACTGATTAGAGTCTAACATCTATTTCTTAAGAGTATTTTCAGTTTTCCACCAAACATTTATTTTCCCCATACTTCCTGAATCATCCTACACCTCAGCCCATGAAGATGGAATGGAAATTTCTAGATAACAGCAGGTGTTTAGATATTTATTGTCCTTTCATTACATGTCCCAAGGCATGCACTTAGCTTATATAGCTTTTTTCCCTGTTGATCTGTGAACTTATTTCCTAAACACAATCCAGAGAGTAAACAAATATACCTTTCTTCATCAGCATCAAAGTGAACTTTGTTGTTACCATGGATTTCATTATGATTATAAAACTTTAAAAGGAGAGAAAGAGAAACTATCTTCAAAATGGCAAAGAGAATAAAAGCTGAATCATCTATGGAGGTACTTAGAGAAAAAGAATGCAAGTATTTCAGATGCACTGGTGACTAATAAAATGGTATTTGTTAGCGAGCGCCCCATGGAATGTTTTCTGATGTGGCTGTAATTTTCTTTTGTGGTATAGCACAGCTCCTGAAAGTTCATGGGTCCACACACATTCTACCTGTTAAGTTTGAATTCAAGACTCATCGCTTCAGCTACTGAAGGGTGGTTGATAAGTGAGAACAAAAGAAGTTAATGGTTTTTGCTAATTCTATTTACCCTTTCCTGACTTGACAATTTAGGAGGAACATTCTGTATTTCCTGGGTTATCTCTTTATTAATAATAGTATCCTTTATCTTTGGGGGGGGTAAGAGTTCTATAGGCAAGTTGTGCTATATTACAAAGCAAAATAGTTTGTTCGGTTTAGACATTAAATATTCCTTAAAGATTCAGTTATTAAAAGCTTACTGTTCCATCCAGTGTTCAAAGGAAGGGATTTGAGGAAGACTAGATCAAAGAGGCTTAGGGTTCACCAATGGCTAATCTGTGGATAGGTTTATAACAAAAAGGGCATTGAGTCATGGGAATAACTTCAGAAAGAAGCAACCAGTTGGAGCATGGAGACATGGGAGGATGCACTAAAAGATCTCTCTTCAAGGCAAGACCAATGTTCTCCCCCCTATATCTAACATGAGCAAGGTATCCCTCCAAAGACAATATGCTTCCAGATACCAGTTCAAACACTAGGGATAAATCCTGGTCCCACTTGCCTCGAAGTGAAGTGTCAGACTTTGGAAGCCTTACCCTTTCTGAGGAGTGGATAGGTAGGTGGGTGGGAGGAAGGTCGAGGAAGCAGGAAGAGTGAAGGGGAGATTGTTATGCAAAATGAGAAAAGATTGTATTTTAAAAGTTCATAATAAAAAAAGATTAATAAAGACCTATCCCTCTCTCCATCTCTTTCTCTCCTTTCTTTTTGGCTGTCATGAGATGGGTACCTCAACTCTGCCATATTCTTCTTGCCACGTTGTTCTAACACATCCCAGACCCCCAAATCACAGTCCAATTAGTCATAGACCAAAACATTGAAATACAGAGGCAAAATAGACCTTCTTCCTTAATTTTCTTAGAACTGTCATGATGGAAGAAAGGTGACTATAACACAAATCTCCAAACTCAGTGTTGACTCAACTTTATTGCCCACTTTGCAACATGCAAGTGCAGCATGAGCAGCTTCCTGCAATTGTCCATGCAATTACCACCCACTGAGCCAAGTTACCTGCACATTGTAGCAAGAGAATATGATATTTGTTTTTCTAAATTCATCAAGACCTAGAAAACAAGCTATGTACCTTGATATCTGGAATGCTACTCCCTCTATCATTTCTTTTTCTGGAAGATGAGGAATTAGTCTTACATTTTCGAAGCACGTGTGGCCAGTCAAAACATATATACTCACAGGCAACACAAAATGGACATCAGGTTGCATTTATGTGTTTTTATTCACACCACACTAAAAATAATCACAAAAATTATAATTAAACATTGAGAGATCATGAATTTTAAAGCATGGAAAATGTGAACAGTTACAGAGAAGAGAAAGGGAGAAAACAAAGTAATTAAATTAAAATCTTAAAAAGTAAAAGAAAAATATTCTTTTTTGAAATATATTTTGATGGGAAGGAGAGATACAGAAAGAGGGTAAAGATATGTCTTCAGTGCAGAATAAATGTCCTTAGAAAATCTCTCCATAGTTCAAACCAACACAACATATATGAAGAAGAAATTGAATGAAGACATATTTAGCTGACAAGGAAGGAACAAGGGAAGGCTGAGTAAAGACTAGTGAGAAAGAAAGAAGCTATGTATGGCTTTACGGACTATTGTCCTAATGAGCGAAGGGGTCACTGACCTATAGAGTAAACAGCTTGGAAAGAGATCATAGTTACAGAGTCAAGGATTCATGGGGCACACAGGCATAATGATTTCCTAATTTACTTTATGTGTGGAGAGAAAGCAGCCATGCATTGCTGTGTATCATTGCTGGCACAGAAGTACACAGCTGTCTGAGAAGGGGAAACCATCTCCAGAATGAGGGAGAAGTTTTCTTTTCTTGGTCTGGTTGCTTTGTACCCACCAGGGACATCTCCTTTCCGTGTTGCCAGCACGATATGAGTAATGGATCAACCTCAGTCCATGACCCAGGTCCTGCTGATACCAGTACATGTAGTCATGGTTATCAGTCTGGTGACAGTTTAATGTCACTTCTACTCCTGTTACTTGTTTCTTGGACTTTGGGTGATTTCAGCCTCCATGTGTTCTGTAAAGGAAAACATCTTGATAAAAGATTTGGGAATTCTGTTAAGAATAGCACACCTGTGGCCTGTCCCAACATTCACTTGCACACAGGAGACGCAAGGCCACACAGAAGAGCCTGAAGTCCATTTCAAGACCAAGGCAAGATCTGATATCTTCCAGCCCTGTTTGTGGAAACTAGAGCTGCGGCTCTCAGGGGCTGCATGATTACAATTTGAACAATTCTTTTAAGTTATTTCATACCAATTCAGAGACACAAGCTCTACATTCCAGGCCCAGTTCAGAGTGACGCCACTGTCTCCAACAAATGCTTGAGCTGCATGGTTAGCAGGTCACACCCTTGTTGAAAGGAGAGGACGCTTGCTGGTGACTAGCTGCTCAGCCCCAAAATAATCACACAGAAACCCTATTATTTAAATTGCTGCTTGGCCCATTACCTCTAGCTTCTTATTGGCTAACCTTTACATCTTAATTTAAAACCATCAACATTAATGCGTGTATCGTGGCTTACCGGCTAAAGTTCATATGTCTGTTTCAGGCGGGGCTACATGGCTTCTCCCTCTCTGACTCCACCTTTTTCTTCCTAGCATTCAGTTGAGTTTTCCCTACCTAATTTCTGCTCTATCAACAGGCCAAGGCAGTTTTTTTTATTCACCAATGGTAATCACAGCATACAGAGGGGAATCCCACATCACACCCTTCCTTCTAAAGCAAGTCAGCTTTAATTATAGTCACATACCAGATTACACAACAATATTTGAAGAGTATATTCTTAGATTTCTAGTTCTGACCAGAAAAAAAAAAATTGCTGGTTTGGGTTTTATTTCTAGAAGCATGTACTCTTTCTCTGATTTCCAATTTATTAGGCTTGTATTATTCCTACTATGATACACCATTCCTTATTTTACATTGCATTATGTATTCTATGAGTTTTCTACTAATTATTTTAGTTTGCCTAAATACTTGAAGAAAACCTTCAATGTTATCTATGGCTATAAAAACTGCTTGACACCCAGAAGTCTTAAAAAAAACTCAAAGATGAAGAGCATTACAATTTGAACAATTTGGACATTACAATTTGAACAATCCTTTTACGTTATTTCATGCCAGTTCAGAGACACAAGCTCTACATTCTAGGCTCAGTCCAGAGTGAGTCCTCATTGATAGGAATTCTGCCTTTGTTTTCGTTGAGGCTGTTGGGGGAGGATTAACTTTTTGTCATTATGCTACCTGTCAAGAGGAAACCTCATTGAGCAATGTGAATGAGTTGTTTGCCTAGTAATGTGCCGGTCTGATTACTACAGGATCCCAGAGAAAAGTATGAAAATCATTCAAAAGGTCTTGTATCACCTTTGTCCTTAGTTTGCTAACATAAAAACCACTTACCTGTACTCCAAGGCAGTATTGTTTCCTTACAATAAAAGATATCTCAGTACCTCAAGAGATAATATCAAAGTGTGAAATCTTCTTTCTGTGACCACACACCCTGGTGGGCTCCCTGTGGACACTTCCTATAATCCTACTCTGGTGAGGAAGAACTCAAAAGTGAAGCAGAGACAAAGACGATCAGACAGCATCCATATGATGAATCTGGGTACAGGGTATGAACAGCCCAGAAACTACATTCTCATCTATGCCCCGAGCTCGCCTGGGCAGCCAACAAAAGAGACAATTGCTCATGGTTGAGTCTGTCTAAGAAAGAGTCGTTTTCTATTTAAGACATGGATTTTTGGAGTGGGGAATATGAAAATTCATAGCTCTTAGGCTCATAGCGTTTATTTCCAAACTAAGGTCTGATCTCCCAGTAGTGTTAATGTTCTGAACAATACGCTGATTTCATTGGACAGAGAAACCTCTGCCATAAATATCTCTTTATATTTTTTTCAAATTGGTTGCCTGATTAAGTAACAAATTTTCTTTTGTTGATAATGAAAGTTACATCTTGAAACTGTAAGAAGAATACATGATCTGGCTTAATATTATACATCATAACCTATCAGCACTCTGAACATAAACACAAGAAGTTCACCTGTTCTTAAAACACAAGAGAGCAATGCAAGATTTTTGACCAACACAGAGAATCCATGGAAAGTCATACAATGATTTCAAAGGCAAAGAGATGTAGGTTTCAATCCTAGAACTGATATTCTTAAACAAGAATGTTGGATAAATTTATGTTATCACATAGAACTGTTCATCAGCAAATGGATCACTAATGTATCCCTTTGTGATGAAACTCTAGCTTATGCCAACACTCAAGTACCTAACACAGAGTAAGGTTCCAACCACTGACTAGGAGCTGGAAAGTTCCGGGAAGATATGTGAGAACATTTAGAGTCTTGGAGCCCATCCCTGTGTTTAGGATTCTGTTGTGAGCTCACCTGGACAGAGGGGATGAGTACAGAATTAATCCATTTTTATACCTTGGCTAAGGCAGCTGTGTAGTATTTCCCCACCTTCTTTAGTACATCACCAACAAAAGTAGGAAGATTAAGGGACAGAAAGCCTGTCACTCTGTGAGGCTGTGGTGAGCTGGCACAGAAGTACACAGCAGAGTCCTCCAGCTGTAAGGCGCTCATGTTCATCTCAGAGTGATAGTCACGGAACTGCTGGACTGAGAATCGGTTGGGGATGTTTCCTTTTGCTCTCTCTGTTTTTTCAAAATGCTGAATGAGGAACTTCAGTTCCTGTCCCAGAGTCTGCTGGTACCAGCCCACAGTGTCATGTCCAGAGATGGGAATACATTTGAGATTGGACCTTCCTCCCTTTATTTTGATTATGTGTCTTGGAGACTGGATGACCCTGGGACTTGCTGAACCTGGGGAGGCAGGAGACAGGAGTGAGCATCTCGAGAAAGAGTGCATGGGTGCAGCAGTAGAGGAGCTCAGGAGCAGTCCCCCCAGAGCTCAGGACTCACTTGTTCCCAGGAGAAAGACAGTGACACAGCAGAGCAGGCTGGGGCCCCAGGCAGAGCCAGGGAGGGCAGTGCCCCACATCCTTCTCCTCAGCATGCTGCTCTCCCTGGTGAGAGCAGGAGTCAGCTCCTCCTTTCAGCTCATTGCCTGTGATGTCAGGTTCTGAGGTCAGTGATCTTGTTGGCTCCCACAGGCCCTCTCTGTACCCTTAGGCATACTCTGCCAGCTCAGCCCTCCCCCTTTAGGGTCAGTCTGCTCATTGAAAAGGAAGATGGTTATGCTGAATAAATATTGCCTGAGGTAGCAAGAGAAGAATGAAGGGAATTTCTTTTTTAAAAAACAAACAAACAACACTCTCCCCCCAGCAACAAAACCACAAAGGACTAAACTCTAAATATTTTCAGACTAGTCATTAGATATCAGCTGTCTTGGGAAGGGGCTAAATGTGAGGAAAAACGGCTTTGGTTATCAGGAATACCTACAGGACAGGATTGCAGAGGCTGAGAATGGAAAAACATCTGAGCAGCTGAAAAACAAAGCAGTCTAAGGAAGAGAAAGCTGAGAAGAGTAGATTTTTAAACTATAGTTGTAGACAGCTAATTTACCTTTGAAGAAATTTAAATATTAAAATTTTGCTTTATAATCCCTGTTTGCTATTTGACCATTTGAGTATTGTCTGCTTGCTTATACCTTGTTCTCATTTTCTTTGTTTTTCCTGATGATTATCCTCTTCAAATTCATTAATCCTTTCTTCTTGAGCATCCATTCTCTTGCTACTAACAGCCAGGTATTTTTTAATCTTAATCTTATTTTATTTCAATCTTAATTTTGATCTAGAGTCTTGATTTGGAACTTTGCACATCTCCCTCATTTCTATGAACCTGTTAAGGCATGTCCTGCAGCTACACTGTTTAGTGTCATTGTCAGCCAATTTGTCAGAAATAAGTTGTTTTCTAGTGATTGATTTTTTTCACCTAGTGATGATCCTATTTTCTTCCCTCTTTGCAAAGCTGTAATCTTCTATTAGGTGCCAAACTGTATATTTTATGTTTGACAGTGGTAGATGCTGTGGTTTACTGATAAGTACACTCAAAGCATTATTTTGCAATGTGCTTAAGTCACTGAGAAAGAGGAATCAGGGAAACTACTATCACATCACCTTTGGTCTTTGTAAGCTTTGGCAAAGGTGATCTATAAAACATAGAGACAGACACAACTTAAAAATCCATAAAGTGATGTAAAAAATGTACTATTTTAATGCAATGAAGTATTGAAATAAGTCAAGTTCATATACACATTGAAAGGGTATCAAAATTTATATGAAGTAAAAGAAATGATACACAAACAGAAAGAGATTATAACTAGAAATTTTGACTTCTGAAAGTAGAAAAGGAAGACTAGTCATTTCTTAAAGGGTTAATATAGGAAAATGCATTGGGACATTCGCAGTGATGATGTTTCTACAACACAGTGACTATGTATAAAATACCAGGGGGTGATTGTGGTGGTTTGAATGTTATTGCTCCCTGCCATATAGGCTCATAGGAAGTGGCACTATTAAGCAGTGTGGCTTTTATTGGAGTAAGTAGGCCCTTGTTAGAGGAAGTACGACACTGTGGGAGTGTGTATTGAGGTCTACTTTCCTCAGTGTTACACTCAGTTCACTTCCTATTACCATGGGATCAACGTGTAGCAAGCACCATGTCTGACTGTGTGTCACTATGTAGTCAGCACTATGACAATAATGGATTAAACCTCTTAAAATGTAAGTTACCCCAATTAATTGCTGTTCCTTGATAAGTCTTGCTATGGTCATGATGTCTCTTCACAGCAATATAAATGCTAAGTCAGTTACAAATATAAAAACAGTGACTGGGTTCAAAAAGTAACTATCCATTATGCTACTTTGGTTTCTTCTTATGATCTGTAGATGCTTGAGTCAAAAACAATTATGGGAAAAAATTTTTCTCCCAGATTCCCCTGCTAGACAAAACACAGATTCTCCAAAAAGCTTTTGCCTGGGAGTTCAGCCAACCAGGAAAAATTAAGTTATCACAAGAGGAGACACTGGAGGCCCATACCATGGCCAGACAGACTTCGCAGGTCTAATGTCACCCGTAAGGATATTTTTATCATCTCCCAAAGAGTCTGTTCTTTCCCAGCCTTCCTTCCTCACCCTGGAAAGAGGGAATAGAAGTTTCTAGACCAGTAGGTGGCTAGATATTGGTTTCCTTTTCCTCGCATGTCCCTAGGAATGCAGTGAACTTGCGTACCTTTTCACCTGCTCATTTTTAATTTGTTTCACAGACACAATGCAGAGAGTAGGGAAATAAACTCCTTGTACAGCTGTCTACATGTAATTTTATGTTGCCAAGTATTTTATCCTTAAGAAGTAAAAATCAGAGAACATACACAAAAAGACAACACTGAATTAAAGTTCATATTAATAGCTCAGTCCTCCATGGAGGTGCTCAAAGTGAAAGAAACCAAGTAATCCAGAAATATTAGTAACTAACATAAATTAGACTTGTTAGAAAGCATCCCATAGAGTGTTTTCTGATGTGGCTGTAATTTTCTTCTGTAGTATAACACAGCTCCTAGTAGTCCACAGCTCTGTTTTGTAATTCTTTTTTTTTAAAATTTATTTCTTTATTAATTAATTAAAGATTTCTGTCTCTTCCCCACCGCTGCCTCCCCTTTCCCTCCCCCTCCCCCAATGAAGTCCTTCTCCCTCGTCAGCCCAAAGAGCAATCAGGGTTCCCTGCCCTGTGGGAAGTCCAAGGACCACCCACCTCCATCCAGGTCTAGTAAGGTGAGCATCCAAACTGCCTAGGCTCCCACAAAACCAATAGGTTCAGTAGGATCAAAAACCCATTGCCATTGTTCTTGGGGTCTCAGTAGTCCTCATTGTCCACTATGTTCAGTGAGACCTGTTTTAACCCAGGCTTTTTCAGACCCAGGCCAGCTGGCCTTGGTGAGTTCCCAATAGGACATCCCCATTGACTCAGTGTGTGGGTGCACCCCTCGCGGTCCTGAGTTCCTTGCTCATGCTCTCTCTCCTGGTGCTCCTGATTTGGACCTTGAGATTTCAGTCTGGTGCTCCAATGTGGGTCTCTGTCTCTGTCTCCTTTCATTGCCTGATGAAGGTTAATGTTCAGGAGGATGCCTATATGTTTTTCTTTGGGTTCTCCTTCTTATTAAGCTTCTCTAAGATCATGAATTATAGGCTCAGTGTTCTTTATTTATGGCTAGAAACCAAATATGAGTGAGTACATCCCATGTTCCTCTTTTTGGGTCTGGCTTACCTCACTCAGGATAGTGTTTTCTATTTCCATCCATTTGCCTGCAAACTTCAAGAAGTCCTTGTTTTTTACTGCTGAGTAGTACTCTAATATGTATATATTCCATACTTTCTTCATCCATTCTTCATTTGAAGGGCATCTAGGTTGTTTCCAGGTTCTGGCTATTACAAACAATGCTGCTATGAACATAGTAGAGCATATACTTTTGTTGTATGATAAGGCCTCTCTTGGGTATGAAATATTCCTATCCAGTAAGTTTGAATTTAAGTCTCATCACTTCAGGTGCTGAATATTTATTTCTGAATAAAAGTGAAAAAGTGTTAATGTGGTAATTACTATTTAGTCTTCTGTGATTTGAAAATTTAGGTGGAGTATTTATTTATTAGGTTATCTTTATTACAAAATATTCTTTTTTATTTTGGATAGCAATTATATTAGGCAAGGTTGGCTCCATTGCAAAGCAAAATAGTGCTTATTTGGTTTAGATGAGAAGTATTTCTCCAAAAATTTACATACTAAAGACTTAGTTGTCTACATTGTGTTCAGAGAAAGAACTTTAAGACATATTAGCTCATGAAGATTTTGAACTCATGAATGGTTAATTGTGGTTTATATTAGAAAGGACATTGAGTGATGGAGACAACTTCTGAAAGCAGCATCTCACAGGAGGATATAGCTCACCAGAGGCATGGCATGCAATTAAAAGAACTTTCTTCTCTTCTCTTTTCTTTGCTTCTCTTCCTTCTTGGCTGACATGAGACCAAAAGCTCGGTTCTGACATATTCTTTCTACCATGTTGTTCTGCTACACTACAGGCCCCAAACCATGAGATCCAAATAATCACAGACCAAAACCTTTAAACCACTGAGCCCAAATCCGAATTATACCTGATGGAGGAAGGTCATTGGTTAATTAAATAAAGAAACTGCTTGCCCTGATAGGTTAGAACATAGGTGGGAGGAGTAAACAGAACAGAATGCTGGGAGGAAGAGGAAGTGAGGTAAGACTCCTCAGACAGACTCCATAGCTCCTCTCAGAGACACATGCGATGAATCTCCAACCCAGGATGGACGTAGGCTAGAATCTTCCCAGTAAGCGCACCTTGGTGTGCTTACACGCATTATTAGAAATGGGCTAAATTAATATGTGAGAATTAGCCAGTAAGGGCTAAAGCTAATGGGCCAAGCAGTGTTTAAATGAATACAGTTTGTGTGTTGTTATTTCGGGCATAAGCTAGCAAGGTGGCCGGGGTGCTGGGGACGCAGCCCCGCCGCTCTTAATTACAATAAAATAGTGCCCAACGAGGTTGGTTGACTCAACATTGCAAACGAGACTTTGGGTGATTGCCCCGGTAGTCAGTTGTCTCTGTCAACTGTTGCACATTTTGGATATATCTCGTTTGTTAAGTAATATTTATTCCCTTCTCAGATCTTTGACGAAGTTGAAGATTATATAATTGTAGTTACTCGCTACATTATTTAGACTCCTTGAGATAGAATGTTTCGCAAAACTTTTGATTCTCAATATTGTTTGTTGTATTTATTATTTGTTATTATTGTATATAGTTGTATTTGGTTTAGTTCTGTCTTATTTAGACAAAAAGGGGAGATGTAGGGATAAGTCCCGCCTCTTAGGGGGCGTGTTCGCCTTGGGCTAATGTTAGCGTATAAATTTGGTGAGCGTGCTCCCAGATGCTGCTTCTGCTTTCCTGGTCTCCGTGGGAATGGTGGTTCTGTAAGGCTATTTCTCCATTAAAGCTGTATATATTTTTACAATCTGTCTGCATTCGCTTACACCATTACATATTCCTCCTTCCTTTATTTTCTCAGACCAGTCATGATGTCAAAAATGTGACTATATGTCATGAATCTCCAAACACAATGTTGACTCAGTTTTAATGCCCACTCTGTAAAATGCAGTGTGGCATTAGCAGCTTCATGCAGCTTTCTAAACAATTAACACCAATTGAGCAAAGTTACTGACATATTGTAACAGGAGAATCTGATACTTTCATTTGCAAATTCATCAAGATATAGGAAAAGAATAAAAGATCCTGAAATCTGGTATGATAATTCCTCCAGCATTTTTGGCAATTTAATCCTTCTGAGAGAGGAAGAGTTTGTCTTCCCTGGGATGAGTTCTATATTAGTTAGGGTTTCTATCACTGTGAAGAGGCACCATGAACACAGTAACTCTTAAAAAGAAAAAAAAAAAAAAGAAAAAAAAAACATTTAATTGCGTTGGCTTACATTTTCAGAGGTTTAGTCCATTATCATCATGGTACAACATGGTGGCATGCAGGCAGACATCGTGATGGCTACATCTTGATACAAAGGCAACAGGAAATGAATTGAGTATCACACTGAGTTAAGGTTGAACATAGGAGACGTTAAAACCCATCCATACAGTGACACACTTCCTCCAGTAAGGCTACAGTTACTTCAACAAAGCCACACCTCCAAGCATTAATGCCACTCCCTATGTACTGAAGGGGGGTCATTTACATTCAAATTGCAGCATTCGACTCCCTGGTCCCCATAAGCCTGTGAATATGTCATAATTCAAAATATATGCAGTTCAACTTCCAAAATCCCTATAATCTATCACAGTCTTAATAATGTTTAAAAATCTAAAGTTCAAAGTCAGTCCTAAGATTCATGCAATTTCTTCACTCTAGTCCCCTATAAAATCAAAATCAAAAACTCAGGTCACATACTTCCAACACACAATGATACAGGATATACATTACTGTTACAAAACAAAGGGAAAAGAGAATAGTGAGGAAGTCTTAGATTTGAGCAAGACTGAAAACCAGCTGAGCAAAGTCCAAATATTGCCTCTCCATATCTGATATCAAAGCACTTTTAGAACTCTAACTTTTTTCACAATGAGAGATAGTCCCTTAAGGTCACATCTACTTCAACAACAACAACAACTCCTAATAGTACAACTCCCTATGAACTTATAGGGGAAATTACATTCAAACTACCACAGACTCTTACATGGTTAACCAATCACAGGCAGGCATTCCTAAAAGTATAAATATTAGAGACATTAAATAGATTCAGCAGGTTGAATTAATTTATTGAAGCATACCACACAAAAAGCAAACAAAAAATAATAATTAAAAAATATGAGGATATGAATTTGAAAGAGGAGATAATCATGTGAGAAACTAGAGGGAGAAGGAGGGAAGAAATAATGTAATTAAATTAAAATCTTTAAAAAATGAAAGGAAAATCATCCAACCAGAAAGATATTTTCATGGGAAGAAGAGATCCAGAACAAAAGGGAAAACTGTGTCTTCAGTCTAGGAGGAATGTACTAGAAGAACATCTCTAGGGTTGAAAACTGCACAGTGCACATGAGGAAATAATGGAATGTAGTCATGTTCAGCTGGAGAGAAAGAACCTATGGAGGCTGCATAAAGGTTGATAATAGAGTAAAGACAATGATATAAGACCTTATGGGCTATTTGCTACTGACCTATGGAGCAAACACAGCCTGGTTAGAGATTATATAAGAGATTCAGTTGGATGGCAGAGTGGCTGACGAGTTCACTGAAGGTACAGGGAGGGAGATGGTGGCTATGACTTTATCAAATGGGTCATAAGAAACTACATTTAAGGATTCGTTTTCAGCTGGGCTAGGATTGGTAGCACAGGCATTCAATCCTAGCACTAGGGAGGCAGAGGCAGGTGGATCTCTGCAAATTTCTGGCCAGCCTGGTCTACAATTTGAGTTCCAAGACTATTACATGGAGAAATTGTCACTAAAAAACAAAACAGAAAGATTTACCTTCCTCTCAGAAAGGGGAACAAGGGGTGGGGATGAGCCAAGCAGCGATTAAAAGCTGTTAGAGTAGACTTCAGTGAGGCTGAGACCCATGCTGAAATGTTCCAAGTTTGTCAGAGCTCATTGACTCCTACAGAGACAGGGACTTCCTGGGGCACACAGGCATTTTGACTTCCTAGTTTACTTTCTGTGCAGAGAGGAGGCAGCCACACACTGATGTGTATCACTGCTGGCACAGAAGTACACAGATGTCTGAGAAGGGGAAGTTTTCTCCAGAATGAGAGAGAAGGTCTCTGTCCTTGATCTGATGACATCGTACCCATCAGGGACATCTCCTTTCTCTGTGCTGCCAGCACCATACGAGTAATGGATGAGCCTCAGTCCATGACCCAGGTCCTGCCGATACCAGTACATGTTGTTGTGGTTATCCGTCTGGTGACAGCTTAGTTCCACCTTTCCTCCTGTTACTGTCACCTTGCTCCTTGGGCTTTGGGTGACTGCAGCCTCCATGTGTTCTGTAATAGAGGGGGACAGAGCCTGATGATGTCATCTTAGCTAAAAGACTTCTGAAATCTGTGTCCTGTCCAGCACTCACTTGCACACAGGAGACTCAAGGCCACACAGAAGAGCCTGAAGTTCATCTCAGAACCAAAGCAAGATCTGATGTCTTTCAGCCCTGTTTCTGGAAACTAGAGCTAAGGCTCTCAGTGACTTAGTGATGTCACTGTCTCCAACAAATGCTTGAATTGCAGAGTTAGCATGCCACACCCCCTCCTACAGAAACAAGTCAACTTTCAATTATAATCACATAGTTGGAATATGCAACAATATTTGTAATATATACTCACAAATTAACAGCACAGATGGGAAAAATTGAGTTTGTTTTGTATTTAAACATGCATGTAGTCTTTCCTTGGTTTTACCTAACATTAGGCTTATTTTATTTCTACTATGACACTATTCTGTACTTTGCATTGTTTTGATTTTTACTATTTCTATAATCTCTGTTGAGTTGTTGTGACATGCTGTATTTTATGAGGTTTCTACTAATTTTTTATTTGCCTGAACACTTGAAGATAAACCTTCAGTGCCATCTTTGGCTACAAGGACTTCTTAACACCAAGAAAGCTTTTAAAACATCAAAGTTGAGGTCATTACAATTTGAATAATTCTTACAAGCTATCATTTACCAATTCAGAGACATCAGCTCTACACTCTAGGCTAGACAGTGTGCTCTCTTTGACAAAATAAATCTCTTGTTTCAGGACATAATCTGAAGGGTCAGTGTAAGCTTTTCTCGCTGTGATTCCTGTCAAAAGAAAGTCTACTTCAGCAATGTGGGTGAGCTATTTGCCTCATAATGTGCAGGTTTGAGTTGTCTCAGTTCCCAGGAAAATGTAAGTACTTCATTCAAAAGTTCATGTCATAAGTTTCCTAACATGAAACACTAACCTTCATTCAAAGGCATCATAGGTTCCTTCCTAAGTAAAGCATAGCTCAGTTAATGACAACATAGATAATATCAAGGTATAAAACCTCCTTCTGTGGCCACACATCCTGGTGGGATCCTGATGGAGAGTTTGTATAATCCTACTCTGATGAGGAAGGTCTCAGAAACACAAGCAGAGACAATATGAAGAAGCTGGGGACAGAATCTGGCCATGCCAGAAAGTAAATGCTCAAAACAAGAAGAAAGTCAACTACCCATGGTTGAGTCTGTCCAAGAAAGAGACACTTTCTACTTTACTCTTGAATGTTTGGAGTGGGGAACATGGAATTTCAAAGCTCTTAGGCTCATTTCAGAAATAATATCTGATCTACCAGTAATGTCAGTCTGCTGAACAACAATACTCTGCTTTTGTTGGAGAGAGAAGCCTCTGTCATAAATATCTCTTCATATTACTTTTAAATTGATTGCTTGATTATTGAGTAACAAATTTTCTTTTGTTGAAAATGCAAACTTCATCTTGACACTATGACAATATAAACATTATCTAGCTTAATACTATTCATCAATAACATGTCAGCAGTCAATACATTCACACAAAGCTCAGCTGTTTATAACAAAAGAGACAGTGAGCTACTCAATTTTTTTTAGTCAAAATGGAAAACAGAAAATTTTAGAACTTTGACTTAGAATGCAAAGAGATAAAGGTTTCAATTCTTATGCTGATATTTTTAAACATGAAATTTTGGGAAATTCCATAAACTAATTATTTCTATTGTGTATAGAAATCTCCATCTACTAATGGATACACTAATGTATACCCTTGTCTTAAAGCATACAGTTTAAGCCCAATCCCAAGCATCCAGCACAGAGTACGATTCCTACCACTGGCTAGGAGCTGAGAGGTGCTAGCAGAGACAGAAAAACAACTGGGTATCTTGGAGCCTACCTCTGTGTTTAGAACTATCTGTGTGAGCCCAATGAGAGATTTATAAAGAGCTATAAATATTTCTTGGCATTGACGAAGGCTGTGAGGCATCTCCCCATCCCTCATTAGTATATCACCGACAGGGATAGAAAGGTTAAGGGACAGAAAGTCTGTGACTCTGTAAGGCTGTGATGAGCTGGCACAGAAGTACACAGCAGAGTCCTCCAGCTGCAAGGTGCTCATGTTCATCTCAGAGTGATAGTCACTGAACTGCTGGACTGAGAATCGGTTGGGTATATTTCCTTTCTCTCTCTCCATTTTTTCATAATGCTGAATGAGGAACTTCAGTTCCTTCCCCAGAGTCTGCTGGTACCAGCCTACACTGGCATGTCCAGAGATCGGAATACATTTGAGAATGGACCTTCCTCCCTTTGTTTTGATTATGTGTCTTGGAGATTGGACGACCCCGGGATTTGCTGAACCTGGAGAGGCAGGAGACAGGAGTGAGCATCTAGAGAAAGAGTGCATGGGTGCAGCAGCAGTAGAGGAGCTCAGGAGCAGTCCCCCCAGAGCTCAGGACTCACTTGTTCCCAGGAGAAAGACAGTGACACAGCAGAGCAGGCTGGGGCCCCAGGCAGAGCCAGGGAGGGCAGTGCCACACATCCTTCTCCTCAGCATGCTGCTCTCCCTGGTGAGAGCAGGAGTCAGCTCCTCCTTTCAGCTCATTGCCTGTGATGTCAGGTTCTGAGGTCAGTGATCTTGTTGACTCCTGTAGGCTTTCTGTACCCTTAGGCATAATCTGCTAGCTTAGCCCTCCCACTTTAGCCTTAGCCTGCTCAAGGGGAGGGGTGATATCTGTACTGAATAAACATGACTGGCTGTTAGGAAGTCCTTTTCATGATTTCTTCTTAGCTTTCTTCTTTTTATTATCTCCAAGGGGTTTTGGATGGCAAAGTCTACAGTTCATGGCTCCCTTTGTTGACACCCAGTGCGTGTGCAAAGATGACTGAACAGCTGTCCCCAACCCTATGGCTCTTGATACTGCACTGATTCCGGTTCCATAGCTTATACCTGAGCTCTGCCTGCTTCTATTGCCAGAGATCCCAGCAGCTCAATATATGGATCCGCAGTGCCCCCTAGTGACAAGCTGTGCAGTCACAGGGCTGTACCTCTCCCGGCTGTTGAGGCTTTGGGCTCTCAAAATCAGGCACCTGTGGTGGACTAGAAAACATCAGAGTTTTCCACTGTACATGTTGCTTACCAAAATCTCAAGTTGTGCCCGTGGTAATGAGAGATACATTCAAGGAATTTCAATTTTCAAAAATAAAGAAACAGAAAAGCAAAGAACCCAGAACCAAAGGAAGCCACAACAGAATAAATTTAAGACTTAACACAGTGTTGCAGGAAGACATACGGCAATAATTAGATGTCAGCTGCCCTTGGAAGGGGCTAGGCTTCTGGAAACCAGTCTTTGGTCATAGGAAATTACTAGAAGGCCTGACTGCAGATGCCATCAGTAGAGAAGTTTCTGAGCAGTTTGAAAAGTAAACCAGTCTAAGGAAGAAAAGGCCAATAAAGGCAGATTGTTAGAATTATTGTTACAGGCAGCTAGCTTGCCTTTGCAGAAATGTAAATATTAAAACTTTATGTTGTAATCCCCACTTGCCTATTTGACCATTAGAGTATCCTCAGCTCATATATATCTTGTTCTCATTTTCTCTGGGTTTCTTTATGAATATCGCCTTCAAGTTCATTAATCCTTCCTTCTGGAGCATCTAATCTACCGCTACTAACAGCCAGCTATTTCTCAGAGCAGACACACTGTTTTACTTCTAGAAGTCTGACTGGGAGCTGTGCATGTCTTTCTCAGCTCTGCCAACCCATCAAGGCATGTGCTGCAGCTTCGCTGTTAAATGCCCTTGTCAGCCAATTGGTCAGAAATAAGTTGGCTTCTCGTGACTGATCTTTCCTCCAGTGATGAGTCCTATTTTCTTCCTTCTTTGCGAAACTGCGCTCTTATCTTAGGTGCCAAACTGCACATTCTACATCTGACGGGGTTAGATACAGTGGCTTCCTCACACCCACAGCTTTATGTAGCTGAAAAAAACAAAAACCAGGGAAATTCCTACCAAAGATCATTGTTGTTCGTTTTAGGCTCTGGCAAAGGTATCTAAAAAACATAGAGATGGACACAACTTAAAAATCCATAAATTGATGGGTAGGTGGTAAAATGTAAAAATTTCATACAATGAAATACTGAAATAAGTCAGGTTCTTATCCACATTAAAATGTATCACATATTATGTAAAGTGGAAGAAATCAGACACAAAGAGAAAAAAAATATAATTCTAAGCCTAGACTTTCTAAAATAGGCAAGATCAGGGCACAAAAGGAAAAATAGTTACTGTTTAACAGATATAGAGATGAAAATTTGGGGGGGGGTAGTAATGATGGTTTGACATCACAATGGGTATGCGTAAAATACCATGAGCTTCCCTATAGTGAAACAACGATGCAGTTCAGGAAATGACGGTCCAGTATGCTTCCTTCGTTTCTGCTTCTTCTGGCCTAAAGGTGCTTGGGGAAAACACTGTGAAAAAAATCTTTCTCTTAATTTCTCCTGGTAGACAAAACACAGATTCTCTGAAAGAAGCATGAGAGGCTCTCTCTGGGAGTTTAGCCAACCAGGCAGGATTATGTTATCACAGGAAGAGACACTGGAGGCCCATACCACACCAGAAAGACTTCCCAATGTCTATCATCCATTCTCCTAAGGACACTGTCAGTTTTCCTCCAAATATTTATTCTTCCCCAGCCTTCCTGCATCACCTACACATCAGCCTGTGAAGAAGGAATAGAAGTTTCTAGATGCCTGTAGGTATTTAAATATTCATGTCCTCTCATTCCATATCCTTAGGCATGCCATTAACTTGCATGTGTTTTTGCTTATTAATCAGTGAATTTATTTCCTAGGCACAATGCAGAGAGTAAACAAATATTCTTACTTAATCATCAAAGTTAACTTAGTTGTTACTATGAATATCATTTCAATCATAAAAATTGCAAAGGAAAGAAATACTATCTTCAAAATAGCAAAGAAAAGAAAAATTAATATTAATAACTGAATTCTATATGGATGTACTTAAGGGAAAAGAACCCAAGTAATTCAAATGTACTGGTAACTAAGGAAATGGTGTTTGTTAGCGAGCATCCCATGGAATGTTTTCTGATGTGGCTGTAATTTTATTCTGTCATTTAACACAGTTCCTAGTAGTTCACACCTCCATACACATTCTACTTTATGATTTTAGAAAATGCTTCTACCTGGTAAGTTTGAATTCAAGACTCATCACTTCAGCTGCTGATGGGTTGTTGATAAGTGACGATGAAAAATGTTAATGTTTTTTGTAATTCCTATTTATTCCTTTGTGACCTGATAACATATA